ATTTATTTATTATTAATTTATTTACATCAAATGTCAGGCGTTTTGATGGTTATCATCAACCCTCTTGCTGACTACGGGCTTCACAGAGAGAAGAAGGAACATCAAAGTGGCAAAAAGTCGAGAGGGGGAACAGAAGAACGATTCACAGATTTAAAAGTGACAGACAGACAGACACAAAGGCAGAGAAAAGGTAAGATGAGTACTGTGAAGGGGTCGAATATGACAAATAGTCGGCCATAGTAGTTTGAAGTGAGAAGTCAACTGCCGGTTAATAGACTCTTTTGCCGTATGTGGATACGTTGCCCAGGGTGCACCACGTGGAGGTAAGTCTATCGCACACCCCGCTACAGTGAATATAACATAAGCAAGCCTTGATTAAACCTAGCAAATCTCTATGGTAAAATGATTTAGTGTGGAATCGATCCCAGTGTTACCGAGGCTGCCTCAATACTATCGAGTAGACAGAGAGAATGGAGTGAAAACGTCCATTGAGGTGATGTGACACACTGGCCCAATGATTACCTCTTGAAATAAAATTAGGGATGTGCAAACAATTTTGCGACTATTGTCTGGTATTTGGGTGAGAGCTCTCAACGCTCAACACCTCATCCACACTCCACTCAACCAAACTGCTCGAGTCAACATGAACACTTCTGTTCAGTCCTGCCTGCATTTTGTGCACTTTACATCTTGAACATAATCGATTAGTCAGTAAGTTCATAAGTCTGCTCTTCTCCACATAGATCCAGATGGGGGTTCGAAATTTGAACTTAAATGAGGTCAGCAAATCGATAAGTTACTTCATGAATTCAAGTGAAGTACGAATTCAGTGTTCTCCTGGCATATTGCAAACCTCCATTCACTCCACAATCGTCATCTCCTAATGAACCAGTTGTAATTTTCAGTGTTGAGACACCTTCCCTCTGGTGAAAATTCCACACCTCTGACCATAATCCCGAGTGGATGTCGGACTGAAGTGGCCTGAAATAAGGTGGCACTTCGTCTGTTATTAGCTGCCAAGACATTTCGCTGTCACCATCTCTCCCTCTCAATGTCCGTCTAACCCTTAGAAAATTTGATATATAATCTCGTTAAATGGTTTTATTTATTTTAAATATGGGGTGTGCAATAGACTTACCTTCCCGTGGTGCACCCTGGACAACGTATACTCATACGGCAAAACAAGTCTTTTTATCGGCAGTTGACTTCTGACCTCAAACTACCATGACCCATCTGAATGTCATATTCGATCACTTCCAAAATACTCATCTTTCTTTAATCTCTTCCTTTGTATCTGCCTCTTATACATCTGTGAATCACTCTTCTGTCCCCCCCCCCCCCTAGTGACTTTGTCACTCTGGTGTTCCAGCTCCTCTCTGTGAATCCTGAAGTCAGCTAAAGGTCTAATGAAAGCGATCACAATGCCTTCCATTTGAAATGTATAAATTAATGTCTGTCTAAATAAGAGGTTGTTATAGGAACTTTTTTCCTTCGATTTTTGGAAATTGGTCTACAAATTTTCCCACCATTTTCCATACCTTAATAAACCTGGCCGCATTTAAATTTATACCATTTTTATCGCATAGTTCGACTGAATTTTAAAACTTTAATTTCTTCTCTGTTCAAAATCTCTTTCCTTTTTCTTATCACCCATAATTTTATAATTTTGTTTTAATGCGTTTTAGGAGCAAAAATTTCGACAAATTTTTGCACACCGTCCAACGTTTGCAGTAAGCATACTCTAAATTACATACAGTGGGATCATGGCAGTTTGAAGTCAGAAGTCAACTGACAGTACTCACCTCACCTTTTTTCTACCTTCATCTTTGAAGCACTCTTCTGTTTCCCCCCCCCCCCTCGACTTTTCGTCACTTTGATGTTATTCCCCTCTGTGAAGCCTTAAGTCAACTAAAGGGCGAATGATAAATATCATAAAGCCTGTCATTTGATATAAATAAATAAATAATGACGTTTTACGGTTTTGTGTCCTGATAATTTGGCATAGGAAATCCGCTCCAGGAGAGGGAGGGGTGGGGGACAGAGAGAGAGGACACAGGAACCCCTCACCACTACACCACCCAGCCTCTCTCTGCATGCGTATTCACTACAAGTCGACTTCAAGCAGGTCATTAAGCGTATCGCTTGTTTACTATGAAGTGGTGCCGAATGTTAATTAATAGCTGCCTAATTTATACTTATCTCCAAATGCTCCGAAATGTTCCGAGTCTTTTTTTCTGGAAATTACCACCCATATAGCCAAAATTGAGGCCTTCTCTGAAACACGTGGAATTAAACATTATGCCAGATTGCATGCTGCTGTCAGTTACTTGCCTCCTGATCAGAACTTTAAGAGACCTGAGTTTCCCTTACTTATCACTTTAAAAGTCAGAATTGGGGGGCCAAATCGAGTGATGGAGCAAATTAAAATGAAATTACTTGTGTGGGTTGACTTGACAATTATGGCAATGACTCAGGGCATAGGGCAATCCTCCATTTCTTGACTGGATTGCGACAAAGTTTTAGTAACTAAATCAGATGAGTTAAGTTGCCTTAACGGAGGGGAAATTACTAGAATGATGGTAGTTTTCCCACTGAATTGGGAATTCTAAAGCGGTAATGGTTTCCACCCCACTTACCGGCCTTCTTGCCAAATCTGATTCTTTGAATTTGAGCCTATTAAAATGGCTAGCGTGAATGACTCAAAGGACCATGTGGTGCATTTTTGTGCATGACCAAATTCGAGATATGTCCTGGGAATTCTTTTCTTCAGCCAACTTCAGATATTCGCCTAAAAATTTTCATTGAGACAACAGTCTTTGCTTCGTCTTTGTCTTTGAGTTTAAGATTAAACCTACGCATAACCCTTGTGATCAGGATGGGGGATAAGGTTAAGCAAACAGAGGCTAATCATGATCAGGATGGCGGATTAGGTCAAACAAACAGAGGCTAGTGTTAAACAAACAGAGGTTAATGATTGGTCACTGTTTGTATGGGATTAGGTTAAACAGAGGCTAATGATTGGTTACTGTTTGTACGGTCGCTGCACACAGAGTTGTACGGTCGCACCTCCCAATCCTGGCGTGCCGTCATGTGATGACGCGTCAAGTGATGACGTATCCCACAACTCGTTTCAAGTGAACGAGGTATATGCAATCAATGGCGAAGTCTGATTGACTATTTTCTCCAATGGTTTCGATGGATTTCTCCACCAAAAAAGTACCCCATCCTTAATTTGTTTAATAACGATCCAATTAATAGAAAAGAGACCAACTGATAATTCAGGAACTCCGGTGAAGGAAATCTGTTGCCATTCCCAAAAACTCCAACATATGTGTGCAATAATCTAAAATATCCCATCAGCAAAAGAAATAAAGTTTTTCAACTTTAATTTACTCGCCGTGGTGACCTTGCAAAAAAAAAATTGTTTCCCTTTTTTACTAAACGTAAACGTGTTTCAAAAATTTTTTTCATGAAAGTCACAAAAATGCGGAGAATATTGAGGTTATCAAAATTTTCATGAAGAAAGAGGTGGCTTCGCTAAATGGAAAATCTAATTATTTTCTTTAAATTTGGCTCAATATTTGAAGTTTGTTAAACATTTCTTTCTTTATTTAAACAAATTAAATATTGTTTGACTCTGATAATTTACAGTCACTTTATAAGAATAGTTTCAAACTCCTCTCTATGAAGCCCGAAGTCAGCTAAAGGGCTAATGACAACCATCAAAACGCCTGCCATTTGATATAAATAAATAAGAATGGTTTATTCAAATTGTTAACTTCAGGAATAGAAGGTTTAGTGAGTTTTGATAATGACGATTCCTACGCCAAATGTTTATTTATATCAAATGGCAGGCGTTTTGACAGTTATCATTAGCCCTTTAGTTGACTTCAGGCATCACAGAGGGGATGGAACATCAAAGTGACAAAAATCGAGAGGGGGGTGTGGGACAGAAGAGTGTTTCAAAGACGAGAGTAGAAAAGGTAGAAAAAGGTGAGGTGAGTACTGTGGAAGTAGTCAAATATGGCATACAGTGGAGTCATGGTAGCTTGAAATCCGAAGTCAATTGCCGAGTGATAGACATTTTTGCCGTGTGAGTATACGTTGCCCAGGGTGCACCACACACCAAATGTAATTAGTGTTAATTTTAATAATTCTAAAATTTATACTCCAGTTCACTTTGTGTGATAGATTTGAGGTGAATGAGCGAATTTCGGGCCAAAAGGTCAAATAACATTTTACATGGACAAGCGAAATTCCAATTTTCCTTCCTCTCCATTCTCTCAATCTCCTTCTCTCCACCTGAGGTGAATTCAAATAAAAGCGCCTGAATTGTCAAAGTTGTCAATTGTGCTCAAATGTTAGCAGAAGGTGGGGAGTACATTGTTACCCTGGTCGATGCTGAGGATCAAGAACGATTGATAAGGAATTATTCTGCAAAACTTCGACAGGCATTATCTCGTGCCGGTGAAAAATATTCGGTTGTCAACCGCAATGTTGCCAGTGAAAAAATACGAACCCCTATGGGGTTAAAACGGTAGCACCTTTAGAAGTGTAAATGAACGCTGTTTAAAAGTAAGCGTAACAAGGTTTTGTGAAGGTGGCACTCAGTTGTTGAAAATGCACCTCGCTTTTTTCTCTACCGCCTATTCTGGTAGCAAAAACCCACAATTTTGCCTCTAAGCTGATTAGCTGCCCTTAATAAGAGGAAATAGCTACTTCGTTCATAACTTATGTACCTATGGGAGTCGAACCGATAACCCCTGATTTCAAAGAAGCCTACTAAAATTAAAAGTTGTAACGAATGTATGACTGAGGCTTGTTAATTCAGAATTTAATTTTCCGAATTTCATTACTGAAATCTCGTTAGTTTTATTTAGTAATAATCACTGCCTACTTCGGCAGTGATTTCAAATTTAAATTAGCATTTGAGTGAAAAGTTGTCACTCAATGTGAGGCCTAAAGATACTTCATTTTAAGGCGAGCACTCTGCTGGCAATATGCGAGAAGGCAAGATGGAGCGATTGCAGAGGAAGGTGCGAAAGAGGATGCAACTAAACCGAATTTGTTGGCTCAATCTTGCCCAATACCACGCCATTCGACTTGCCATTGAATCCAGATCCCCGGAGGAAATGATATGCACCCTTGGAGTGTACAATTATATTACAAAATTCATCACCAAGCTTTCATATCGAAATGTGAATGATGGCCCACTTGTGAAGGTTCTGATGTGCGGAGTGAATTTGACCCCTAAATTGACAGAAAAATTGAACAAAACCGTTGGCAATGCTTTTGAAGAAAACGCTATTATGAAATCGTATATGCGAGTTGTCATTGGAGTGAATGTATCCTTTGCAGAACTTATTAACAGTCCAAGAAGTATACCCGAACCAGATGTCTTTATCTTTGTGAGCAATATGTCCGAAGACTTTGGTGGTTGGGGAGGAGAGAGAGCCTTTTTCAGGGAAGCTACAAGCTACTTCCTGAATGTCCACATGCCACATTGTGTTTTTGTCCTCGATGCAAAGATCGGCGCCAACTTCGAACGCCTCATCAAACTCTTTCGCAAGTTTGTTCCCTCCGCGGCGAGATGCTACCAGCCGTGTTTACAAAATAAAACTCACTTCAAGGTCTGGCAACTGCGTCGGAAAGAGGGTGTCTTTGCGAACCTGGTCAAAATTCTCATTGAAGCCTTTTCTGTTTGCTACTTCAGGAAAGTGGGGGATAGGTTGTTTATCTACTGGCCCGCTCCGGATATACCAGAACAAAATACCACGCCGGCCAATCAGAGTTGAATCACCTTTGTATGATATAAGCGTAAAGTAATGTACATTTTTATTCTGATCCGTCATCCCTCTTTTTGGTTGATGGGTTGTGGGCCACATCCAGAGTGGTTTTAGTTAGACATTATTAAATAAATTTCTGATTTGAATAATGGAATGAATTAGTGCCTATTCACAGTAAGAAGCTTGATATGGGTTTCTTGGAAGAAGTATTAGCCGAAGCCAGAGCCACTTGATTCCGTATGGAGTGGTGAGATGGCTGCGATGAGAAACGTCGGCTTCTTAGGTTGAACAAACGATTGAATCACAGAAAGTACAGCCTAGCATTCAGGAAATTCTGGCATTATTTTTTTATTGATTGCATTTTTTGACTAAACGTGTAGGTATTATGCCCATCGTAATCCATAATAAAAGCCATTCATTCCCTGCATCTTGTTTCCCGTCACGATTGAGGTAGCTTGGCTAATTTGGGGAGATATTTTATGCTAGGGGATTTCGCCAACCATTTTAACGCATTGAACATTGCAGCAATTTTGTCACGAGGACTTCATGACTTAAATATCTGAGTGTGTTTCGTTGGGTCAAAAACACTCACCAACTTTATAAAAATAGGATTTTTAGGAGGAAAAGTATTGTGGTTATCTGCAAAAAACGTTAAAGATATAATTTTTTAGAACTTTATCATTAACCCTCTTTATTGATAGTCCCAATCTGTTAGTTCGAAATAATAAAACTTGGAATTTATTTTTCTGAATGGCAAAATTTAAATGGTTTGAACTCGTATCATTAATTTTGTAACGCCTGGTATGTTCGATTTTCCATGCTCGTTAGATTTCAAAGATCCTTTTCAGTTTAAAAATCCTCAGGACAAATATTTACTTTCTAATGTTTTAATATCTTCTTCTTCAAATGCAACAAAAGAACATGATAATTTGAGGATTTCTACGGATCTATCAACTATAATTCAGAAAGATATAGATTAGAAGTCTTATTTTTAGTGCCTTATGAAATAATACAATTACTTCTCCTTATAAGACAGACTGCAAACTCCGAAATGGTATAAAATTGTTTATAATCAAAAGCTTATTATCGGTTTCGTAGTAATAATGTGCAAGTACCGTATTTGCTCACAAAATAGGTTTGCTTTATTTAGAAAAAAATAATGTAATTGGTCTACAACTTTAAATTAATAAGAAACTCCTGTGCTTTTTTTATAGACCATCAAAATATTCGAAGATTATATGCTTTAGAAAAAATATCTCTCATGATTTCGATGATAAAAAAATACCAAAGTTCTTCGATTTCCGAGATGTCTAAAAGGCTACCTGATCAATTTCAGGTAAAATTTAAAGCTTTAAATAAAAAAGTAACACGTAAGGGAAGATTGTAGGAAAAATACACAAATACTACTCAAATGGTGCCAAGAAAAATTGGTTTCTTAATAAAATTTTTACATTGGCGGACAGTAAGACTTATTAACTTGACCCCTATTTGTCACCACAGCCATGGCATTTTAATTTGAAAATTTTCATGATTATTAATATTTCATTTCAGTGAATAATTTACCTTATATAATAATGCATTCAAAAATTGTAAATATTATACTTTTATAATCACATTCCACGGTTAATAAGTCTTGTGCAACAAGACGCTTTTATGCCAAATTTTCGCGAAATATTAAGTGCTTGATTGTTATCCTACAGACGTCTTAGCGTGCGCGTTCAAAAGAAATAATTTTAATAAATTAAATGAGAATGATACATGGACAAGATCAAGTTAAAGGAATAAGTCATGGCATTCATACCGAAAGTGTGCTACGAAAGTGACTACTAAATTATAAAATTTATGAGAAAATACTTCGTCGTGCGTGTGGTAAGTCATGTACACTCGGCGAGTATAGACTAATCATTGCCTGAGCTTTTCTAATCACACTTGTTTTCATTGGTAGTGCTAATATTTCGTTGGACTATTTTTATTCCAACTGGTTCGGATTTTCTTAAATATTCTAAAACTATTTTTACGAATTCTAATTAAATAAATAGTAGCAAACTAATAAAAACTATATTATATGCGATAGAAAATATTTGAATATTTTGATAAGGTTCTGAAACCTTGAAAAAGACCATTCAAGCCTGCTAGAAGGCTTAACCCAAGTGCTAATTAAGGTCAATATAAAAGCTATGATGGATATCGTAAGCAAATGTGTTTGAAATGCTTTTATTAAGTATAATTATAGGAAAATTTCTATAGTAGCGTTATAAATGATGTAATTGAAGGCATGAAGGAAACCTTCACTCAAGAGGGTTGTGATCTTGATGTACTGGAACAACTCCGGAATGTAACTTATTATCAACCGATATTAATTTCTGTCTTAGCTATGGTCATCTAAGTTAGCTGAAACTCACGTTACAGATCCCGAACCTTTGTCGCAGCCAATAATTCAATTTGCACAACGAATCCAACCGTCACAATTTCCAGTGGGTTTCGCAAACATTAATTGACGTACACACTGCGTTACGCTTTTTAATAGGGTGTTTTTCGTCAACAGGCGGTTATAGGTCAACAGAGCATGGGAATTAACATTACTCGTCTACCTATTCAACCAAATGTGGGCGGAATTCATACTTTACAACCTATTGGACGTCCAAATGCTCCTCTGACAACTTTGTCAATGGGAACAGGCGGACCGCCGACTGGTTTGGTTCTTAGGTCTTCTCTTTCTGAGCCTATGTCAGGAGCTCCCCGACCGATCATGTTGGCTGCTGCGCTGAATCCTCAAAATGCCCAACAGCGAATTGTTAATCCCAATGGGCAGTTTACTGGCATCACAATTCGAGCCCAGACTAGCAACACCGCTCAGCCCGGCCAAGCGACAATTATCGGACAGCCAATGAACGGTGTTATTCAAGGTATGTTCAATGAAACTTCTTTCGCATCTCTCGATGCAACATTATTTATGATTATGATTTGTTTTTAGTTCCCCTAAATTTATGTATATAATTGTTTGCCCGTTTTTTACTTACTAATGTGAGTTGTTGCTATGATGTTTTGTATTTAATAATGCTATTACGCTCGTTCGCGCTTTCATTCAGTGCACTTATGAGATTTGAACTTTTAACGATTTGTAGTCAAACAATTGAAAGGTCCTTTTATTAGCTGACCATTTATTCGAAGGGGATTGATCAATCCTTGATGTCCTTTGTGCTCTAATTTATGGCTTAACAGATTAACCCACTCTTCTATGCTTTTGGTTCAATCCAACTTAGTGCGTACCTGATTTTCAAGGGTTTTTAAAACTGGTCTATGGCATAATGATCGAATACTTCGAATGCGATAATTATAGTAAGTTAAATAGTCCGTAGAAGTGTTTAAGAATTCTGGATTCTTGGCTGACTAATTCCAGGTCACCACTTCTCTCGGATCTTGGTTTCCATTGTACAAGCAAATATATACTCGAAAATTCATTTCCTCCTTCGTCAAACAATTCGTATTGCTAAGCACTTTCAAGTGTTCCTTTAACGGGTGACTAAATTTCGTTTTTGGGAATGCACGTTTTTTGCTCATTAAAAAGTTATATATCAAATGGCAGGCTTTATGATATTTATCATTAGCCCTTTAGTTGGCATCAGGCTTCACAGAGGGGAAGGAACATCAAATCGAAACAAGTCGAGAGGGGGGGGGGGAACAGGAGAGTGTTTCAAAGATGTAAGAGACAAACACAAAGGTAGAAAAAATGTGAGGTGAGTACTGTGAAAGGGGTCGAATATGACATACAGTGGGGTGATGGTATTTTGAAGTGGGAAGTCAACTGCCAGTTAATAGACTTTACTGCCGTATGAATATACGTTGCCCAGGGTGCACCACGTGGAGGTAAGTCTATCGCACACCCCGCTCATTAAAAAGTCGTGATGCTCTAATTAAGTCTTTTGAATATAATTGGAATATTTCCTTAGTCTCATATATCCATCGATCAGATTGGCTACCAACCGCATTTGTCAAAAGGATTTCTAACTGTTTAGGATGCTTTCGCGACCACACCATCACTACGCCTCACCTCGTGAGATCTGTATTGACCTCATGTTTTTACATGCACATCTCTTTTAATTTAGCGGTCACGAGATCGATTCCCTCGGGGGGTACACAATTTTTATAATAGCTTTAATGACTTTAGAACAATGAGTAAACCACGCCCTCATTCCTACCAAGGAATTTAAAGCAAAAAAATAGCATTACACTATCAAGGGGTGATGATAAGCTTCTTCCAAAAAATCGCCCCAATAACCAAATAGAAGTATTGAGAAGGCCAATTTTTAATTGAGGAAAAACATCCAGTGTGTGTGTGAGGGTGTGTGAGATAGAGAGAGCATATCTTTACTTGACCATATCTTGGCATCTTGTGCCAATTGCAACTTTTAAGGTAGTGTCAAGTAAAATGCCACTAGTGTAATTTGATCGCTCACACATACACTGGATGTTTTTCCTCAATTAAAAATTGGCCTTCTCAATACTTCTATTTGGTTATTGGGGCGGTTTTTTGGAAGAAGCTATTTTTTTTGGTTTAAATTCCTTGGTAGGAATGAGGGCGTGGTTTACTCATTGTTCTAAAGTCATTAAAGCTATTATAAAACAAGGCATTCAATGCTGTGATGGCTCGTGTTTGAGGCAATGAACTACTTATTAGCTAACACAGCTTTGCCATTAAATTAACTGGTTCATAAAAATCTCATTCTATTGAAACCAGCGTTTTATTACCTCTCAGTTGGTGAGATTTCACTATGTCCCCTTGTGCGCAAACCTTTCTAAATCTTCAAAAAATTTCTGCTTTTTTTAAAAACTGACCTGGGGTTGAAGTCTTACTTTATTATCATTTCCTGCTGCATGCCAAAACGAAATAAAAATTATTTAAGTGTCAGACATGTAGATGGGGAGAATTGAGGGGTCTGAACTGGTTGTTTGCATTTGAATTGAATGGTACAGATGGTTTTATCCACCATCTCTCTCTCTTTCTCTTTCTAGACGCGATTGGATTAAAATTGAAAGATATGCAATACTTCTCTTCCTGTGCAAAGATTTGTTTAACCTAGTACCTTCTGTGTAGACTGCGTCCTAATCATTTTATGCTTCTCATTTACCGACAGTCTACTTGCAGCCAGAGGAGACTCTTAAGTTGGTATTATTTCTGCCATGTGTTGTGATGTGCGCAATCGCGAAATAAAGAAAGGTGGCTGGCAAGGTCGCTTTTGCACCCACCTCGTTTTCTGAAGTCATTATCTCTTCGTGTTAACTGTTTAATTGTGTCTTTCATCTTTGATTGAAAAAGGGGCCTGTTCATATTTCATTCAAAAAACCTCTCTTTAGCGGTTGTTGTGTGCTAAGCCCAGTCTAATAAAAGGGTCGTGTTCAAACTCTCCTTAGTGTGAATCGTACCCCTTCCACCGCTCATCGTATTGGAATGTGCACAGATGCGTATCGAACTCATGGCCTCCAACGGTGTACTTATCTTTTTCTTCTCTTGGGAGAGTTATCTGCGTCTCCAACTTTGGCCTTAGTAATCAATTCACGCCTCTTTTTTTGCGCGCATCAACTCTCTTTCAGGTCAGAATGTGCAGTTTGTGCAGTTGGGTCAGCAGGCTCTCATGCTGCCTCTTCAACTGCGTCAATCGGCGCCAGCACAACAGGGGACCACCTCCACCGCCACCACCACCACAACTGCAACTATCCTCCCAGGCCCCCCACCACCCCACCATCACCACCAACAGACTATTCATCAGCAGCAGACTCAACAGATGCATATCCAGATGCAACCACAAAATCAGCATCAACAGCATTTCCAGCAACAGCAAATCCAGCAAATTCAGATTCAACAACAGCGAATGCAACAGCAACAGAACTTCAATAGGGTAATTTTCACTTATACTCATACATTAATATCTGGTTCTAATTCGGAGGCTATTGAACTCAAACTGTTCAACGGATAGTTAACAGTTGAACTTAATTGACTACGGCGCTTCAACGTGGTTAAAGCCTTGTTTTATGCATAGTAGAATTGACTGTAGCCACCTCTATGGAATTTCGGTTACATTGGTTAAGGCGCTCAAGGGATTCCCTTGCTGGTCTCTAGTACCTGCCTCCCTTCATACCGAATTTTCATGCATTTCAAACCTATTTTACAAATTTTGAAGACCCGATGTATCAAGGCATCTTAATTTACCTTGCTGGTGTTCCAGGATGTTTGAAAGTTCTTATGTGGTTGCTTTCTTCCGTTGTCTTAGGAAGCTATGGCTTTTTGAGGTCTCGCATCTCTGCCTTCTACCTTCAGAAACTTTGTTGCAGGCAGGGTGAGGTGAGGTGAGGTGGGGGGGGGGGCGTTTAGGTCTGGTAGGGCATGGTTTGGAAATTACTATCACCCACGTGTTATCGATTTTCTTCTTCTTCTTTACTTTTGTAGCCTTCTCTTTTCTCAAATTGATTTAATTGGTTTTTAAGTCCTCGCTAACGTAAGTCACCATTGGACAAAATTTTCCAACTTTCCAAAACCAAGATGAATCCTAATTTTCAAATCGGAATGGATTAAATTTAGCCCTCTTCCCCATCAATAGACGCCAATAGACCTCTTCTAGGCTGTCAAACTCGCCCTTTTATTCCTGCTATATACCTACACACGGAGCCGTAAGTTTATCAGCTAATATATTGCCTCTTACTTTATAGACTCAAGTGGACGGTGCAGGAGATGGCGATAGCGATTTCAGTGACGAGGACGCGGATGTCCTTGAGCCATATTCAGTAGAGACACCTCTTCGCACGGGACCCCTTAGTGTAGCCCCGGCTAGCACGCCTCGTTTGGGCGGAGGAGGAGGAGGGGGTAGCAGCGTTAGATCAAAGCAGCCTTCCTTCAATTATCTCCAACAGCCTCCCTCATCGGCTCTTGGTGTATTGGAAGATGATGATGATACCGATGATGAAGGGATGGTTGCAGCCACACCTGGCACATTTGCACCTCCCACCGGCATCTCTTCATCGTTCACCCCCAACCCCACACCTATTCCCGCTACCCCTACTCCTAAACGTCCCACTTCACCTCCTAGTCAGGTTGGAGCGGTTGTAGGCAAGCGTTCCCGTGAGGAGGACACTCTTGGAGAAGGGGATGTGGACGTCGACTCTGAGGAGGGAGAGGGGGATTTCGGATCAGTTGCAAACATGACGCCCGTCGCTCATCGAACTGCGACATTGGCAACACCGGGAACTGCCACACCCACCACAACCACCACCTCACGAAGAAAGCAGAAGGTCCCGAAGGGAAATCAGCAGCAAAACGTCTCTGACCATGCCAACATTCCCGATCTACTTCCCCCTGAAAAGCCTAAGACGGTCTCCGAGAAAAAGGAGCAGGAGAGTGTTGCTGATGGTACTGCTGCTTCCAGAGACGGCAATGGGGGCAATAGGAAGGATAGCAAAGGACCTCCGAAGGAACAAAATGACGATGATGAGGAGGAAGAAGAGGAGGAGGAGGAGGAAGATGAGCCGTTGAATTCCGGTGACGACGTAAGCGATGAAGATGCCGAAGAACTATTTCAATCGGAGAATCTCGTGGTCTGTCAATACGATCGTGTAAGTGTCTTCCTCACTTCATGACATTACACCTCTTTTCTCTCATTTTTTCATCCTCTATTTTCTTACATTGATCGCAGACGTGTCATTTTCAGCGCAAACACACACACACACACACACACACACACACAGGATGATAGCTATTTTATTTAGGGGGGAGGGGGGTAAATATTCCTAAAATTGCTCACACAATCCAAGGAAATGATTCTGTTTCCAACGTTCGTTCATTATCCGCAATGTGTTGTGACGTTTCGCAAATTTAGTAGGAATGGCTATGCATTTTCCAGCCTTGCGTAGATCTCCAGCCACCTTATCATTTAAAGAACGCACCGATTCAAATACTTAAACAAAATTTAATTTAATAATATCAAAGTGCGTTGGAGCAGAAACGTGGCGCAGAGTTGAAGGCCAAAAGCGAAATAAAATTTTGATTTTCAGTGTAAGAATGTGCGGCAAATTTCTTGTCTTGTCAATCCCTTTGATGATTGGTCGTTCCGTTCACGCGCATCAAATCAGAATTCGATTTCTCTCCGGAAGAGTGGTCTATTTCTAGCCTCACATGTTAAATGCGCATAACGCCGTGAAAAAAAAGGTGCTTAGATTGTGAGTGGAGATTGCTCAAAAGCTTTCCATAAGCACTAAATATGACAAATTCAGTAGTCTTAGATCATCGAGTGCATGCTGAGAATCAAAGCGCTCTAACAGACCACTCTTCCAACGACTCTTCATCTGAGAGCAGTAGGTCTATTGGGGGGCTGGGGTAGGGTTCCTCGAGCAAAATATGCGTTTCAATGGAATGGTCCTATTCATGCGATGCATGTGTGTTTTACAAGCAGACTTGGTGTTCGCTGTCTAGGCTTGACATGCTACTTCAAGCTTTTAGGTGTGTGTGTGTGTAAGTTGAATCTGGGTGTGCGCCTACCGAGAGAAGACACTTGAGGCCGCTAATGATTCGCCTTTTCCCAAGGCGCATTGGTGATGTGAGAATGAAAGCAAATGTGCCCCTATTCACTTGGTGTGTGCACGTGTGTCCTCTCAAGCGCTCCTCGTCCTCCTCTTCCAACCACTCCACACTTCTACTTGCTTTTATCAAGCAAGTTTGTGCTCACCCTCGTCTTCTCCTTTAAACGAGACCTTTGCACCTTTCTGCCCCGAAAGTGTAGCGCATTGATGATGGAGTTGACAGCTACACTTCGGGAAGTTTGAAATTTTACTCTTCATAGATTGACATTCACTTTTACCTTTAATTTTTTTGTTAGCTTTTTTGTCGTTTTTTTTGTTTTCAGTCCACCTCAGCTAACCATTGTAAGCAAATGATTTCGTTGTGGAGTACCTTGTCACAATTTGTTGCGTGAGCGAGCTTCCATGAGGTCTTTACAATGCTTAGAAGTCTCCACTAGTCTTGCTTAGCTCTCTTTCCTTTTCGTGGTGGATGAGCGAATAGGCTGTGTGAATTTTTGAACGCGAACTCAGCCTTTTGTTTGTCGGTCAACTTTTGATGCACCTTAACTTGGAATGCCAAGTAGACGTTGGTCAATGAATGCCTGCCTGCCTGCCCCCCCCCCCCTCTTCAATTGCTCCTCTTCTTGGACTAATTGAGCGCTGTTTCATTCGATGCCGGGGATGGTGATTTTCCTTATTGCGCACGATCCCCTGGGTGGGGGGGGGGGCACTAATAATAATGTTGTCTGCAGTTCATCTCACGGTTGGCCTAGTTCTTTGAGAGGGTGCTACCGGCTGCGTTCAAAAGCCACACTTCCTTACTGGAATATCTCTGCCTTAACTTGTTTCAAATTTCCCCCCATTTTTTGCAGGTAAGTCGATGTAGAAGCAAATGGCGTTTCTGGTTGCACGACGGAGTGATGAAAATCAGAGGTCGAGATCGCCTTTTCCATAAGATGGTTGTCGAGACAGACTGGTTAGTTGATACGTCATTTCGTCCTTGATTTCTCAAAGCCATCGCCTGTAAGATCGTCTCACTTGTCGTCCTCTCTCTCTCCCCTACTCCCCTCTTTTCTGTTCTTCTCTCTCCCCCTCTCCCTCTTTGCCTATTGAGATATCGCCCGGTCTCGCTGTGTTCCTCCGAACTTCTGATCTGGCCTTTCGCGTCTTTCATTCAAATTAAAGTGTCTTTACTTTATTTATTACTTTTCTTTCCTTCTCGTCTTGTCGTTTTTTTTCCTTTGTAAATAGAGAGTCACAGCATTCCACTTGCTCTCGATCACCGCGTCAGGAGAAGCATTCCTCATTTGGCTGATAATTTCCAACTTTTAATCTGTGATTTCTACTCCAAGCACATTCATTCCATTATTTAAGATGACCTCCCCCCCTCCCCCCCTCTCTCTCCCGTTTTTTTGCTACCGATGATGCCTCCATTTCCAATTCACTTTCTTTGTCTCTTTGTCTTAACTTTGCACTACTTGCTCCTTGTTTTGTAGTGAATGATATCTAATACTTCGTGATTTCCTGCTTTCAACTTTCTCGTTCTTCTTTTGTTTGTTTGCTTGTTGTTGAATGGATTGTCTGGAGATGACGTCAGGTTTAATATTTCACCATTAAAAAAAGGGGGACTTGGGGTGTGCTGATTTGGAAGGATGGTCTTCGAGAAACCATCACATGACGAGTATTAATCCTAACCCGCTGAAAGGCTCTCGAGCTTGTGAGCTCTGCAATGGGTGGCAGGTATGTACAGATAAATCGGCTCCAGTCTACTTCCTTCCCCCCCCCCCCCCCAAGTAGTCGTTGTTGAGAGGGAGGTTACATTTGAATGCCTTGTTTTGAGGTTTGCGGCAAGCGGGTAGAAAGGAAGAGTCCCTAGATTCTTCTCTCTCTCCCAACTGCTACTTTTGACGGATATTTTGAGCATATTGATCGATATATTTCTAGCCTTTGTGGATGCATGTTTCCTTTTAATTCCATTGTCTGAAATTTCAATTATTATTATTACTATCGGATGGATTAGCGTTGATACGGCTTCATGTCATTGCAATATCGTATTATTTTGTGTGGGGTGTGTGGGGGGGGGGGGCGGGTTAGATATGTACATGTTGAACTATTGCGCTTATTGGTTTGATGTGAAGTGAAGTTGAAAACCAACTGGTTGAAATGCTCATTGGAATTATTCGTGGTTTCACAGCTGCCAATTGGGGGGGGGGGGGGGGGGGGGGGGGGGGGGGCCCCCTNGGGGGGGGGGGGGGGGAGGGAGGGGGGAGAGGGTCACCCTGATCATGCTTTGCAGTTTCTCGCAAATTGCGTCGGCCTGAAAGTTCGCATTTTTGTGCGTGTGTGAATTTAGGCAAACATTACTTGGAGTGTGGATGAAGTAAATAGTAATTGACAAATGTGAATGTGGACTTTGATTTCGCTGATGTCGATTTAATGTTTATAGACTGCCGCATAGTAAACAATTAGTTGGGGTGTTAGTCTTGCTTGGTGATTACTTTTGCAGATAGTGTCTATAAGATTTACAAAGTCCATTGAAGGTCTCCGCTTCCATTCAGGAAACTGCCAATAGCGGTATTACTTTTGAGGTTAGGCTAAACATAATTTATTGTCTGGCCCTTCAAACAGTTAAGACACTTGTGGCTTGTCATGAAAACCTGGAAGTGTTCTTGATCTAGAAGCACACAAGGTCAAGGTTCATGGTAATCTGGCGACATCCGTAGGTTGAGTTTTCTTAGACTGCATCGAAATAATTCTGCGGAACCAAATAACCCCTCCTGGGCAATTATACAGAAGTAAAATTTATCACCTAAGACGAGCATATATTTTTTGAGAGAGAAAAGCACTATTCACATCATACAATAATACTGGCATCCAATTCGGCAAACTTTGAAACTAATCCTTTTAGACCTTTTAGGAGATTGTGAAATGACGCTATTGAAAACGTTCGGGGTGAGTCAAGCTTCAGTCCCCAATGGAGAAAGGCTGTAAGACTGCATTTTAACTTTTAACCCCAAATAACCGCCCATGGGCGTTTATTCGAATGGACGGGCTTTCGGAAAACCCCAGTAGCTCCCTGAATGCCTCCGATAAGCGCCTTTTTACACTTACCATCTACAATTACCAATTTTCATTCGCGTATCTCATTTCTTTCTCGTGGGATTCGAAGGGCATCAATTTGTAGCAAGTCGAAGCCACCAATGGCATCCGTGATTTGTCCAAGGAATCTCAAATTACGCCTATGTCACTAGATCGCTATAAATAGAAATGAACAGAAACAGGTCACCATGATCATGCGTAAACATGCTTTCTAACTCAGTAATACTTCTCAGTGTATGCGCCATCAAGAAGGTTGCAATTTCTGCCAACAAGTTGAAACTTGAGCTGGAAGTGGGTCTCCTCTCTAAGGTAGGCGATCATCTTTTGGCTGCCTTCACTTGCAAATGAATCAAAACTTGCGGATGGAGCTTTCTCATGGTGACTTAATTTCGGACACCTAACAGGCAGCGTAAATTTCAAAAATTTGAAATTGAATACTCGTAGTATTAGTCTATCGTAATTGGTATAGTTTCCTGCGCGCGACTCACTGTCTTTTCTCCACTGGATCTCTAACCAGTAATCATTCGTTTCGAAATTTAGCGCACCAATTACGGTGCCGACAAAAAATTGGCTTAATTATAATACTGACTAGTCCATTACCGGTTGCCTGAAGGAATTAACTCAAAGATTGTAATTCGTGGAAACACAAACATTCCTGATTGACATGTAACGAGAGAGAGAGAGAGAGAGATAGAAAGAGTAAAGCAAGAAGAACGTGTGAGAAGGTAGGCTTGGTCAGTTTACTTTAATCATCTTCGAAACTGGCTGAATCTCAACGAATAGAAATGAGTGAACATCAGCAATCACCACTAACCCTTAGGCTTGGTGTGAAATACAAGGACTACACAACTTGACAGAGGCACTCGAACTTAAAAGCTGTTATTAGAAAATAATGGCAAGAAGCACAATGAGACTAATCCGCTTCAGGCGGTTACTTTCAGTTCGTAAGCGACCTCTCAATCTGAAACCGGAAAACAAAGTTCAAGGTCGCAGCGTTTGCATGAATTTCTGCAGTGGGTAACTACTTTATGTTATCTCTAGGTCGCACATCATCTTCATCAGTACGGAGGTAATATGAGGATCTAGAAAGATATAGATCAATTACGCAGAAAAGTTTGTTACCGGTTTAGAGTTGTTCCGTTACACAAAGATCAGCAATGTGAATACGATTCACATTCGCAAATAAAGTCACTATTTTACAAATAACAGGTAATGAAGCAACCACACTTCTGCCTTATCTCACATTGATTCAACTCCAACCTTGTACTAACTAACAATCGCAAATATTGCCGAGGCAGATACCAGGCTTTCAAGAAGTGCAGCTGCATAGAAATTGAACAAATTTAAGTACCTTACAGTGCCTATTCTGTTCCTGATTATTTTCTCAATGAACAATAAAAACAAATAAACTGGTTCGCTTCAATTTCAAGAATAAATAGAAACGTGCATAAAATAAAACTGATCAGCTTCTATTAATACTCAAGTTACAAATTATTAATTAGTTAGCAATCATATTTTGGAGACGCACTTAGGTGACACAAATGTATACAATTCCAAAGCGCTTTCCAATTCAAATGATTCAGATGTGTGAGTTGAGAACTTCACGTTTAGCAATAATCACGTGTGGATATTGATGACTGGATAGAAAAGAAGGCGTTCGAATTAAGTCTAGTAAATGAACTTGATATTTTTAAGAATAAACAAGAGTGGAATACTAGAAGACCCCGAACATTCACTTTGTAGGATTGACTTGAGTTAGTCATCTAACGTGAATCTGGTAATAATGTCTTACTAGGAATTAGAGAATTTTTATCCAACAATTAGGTAAGTAAGTTTGTTCGCTCAAATAGGTTGCTTCAAGATCAAGGTAAATTTAAGGTTGATAATTACTTATAAGGTGAAAACAACGCTAAACAGGGTATTCCACCCGCATACATGAATGCCATACGAAAATGACATAAATTAATTTGGGACATTTCTGTACTCATAAAATTCAATAAACAAATTTCGTCAGGTATTTAGATGACTCAAATGTTTAGTTTTAATAAAAAATGTATTTTTTGATTTTTTCCAGAAATATAATTGATATTATCTGATTAAGCTAACGTTGCTCAATTAAGTCCAATATATTCCAAATTATTATGATAATATCTATAAGGAAAGGTCAATGTGGAAGGTTACTTAGCCCGTTCGCCTGAGGGTCTGCATTCAAGTGCGTATAAAAACCTGATTTTAGATGTTTGTTATATGCCTAATTTATTTTATTTATAAATAATTAAAGCATAGTTTAAAAGCATTATTTTTATTTTATGTTCTCTAAGTACATTTTCATTTAAATATTCTAAACAGATTCTTAAATTTGTGATGAACGTTGCTGCACAAGCTGCCAAATTTCAAAACGAAGTTCCTGGGTGGCTTGGTTCCTTGGTTCTCAATTTTGATGGCGAAGTTTTATTTTCGGCTGGAGAGTTGACTGATGATATCAATTCTGCGCCTAAATTTGTTGAACTAGCCCGGCATCTTGGTGTCTATATGACTTTAGAAGGGTCCCCAACGAATCAAGAAAACCCTTTCAAACGTTTTACTAGTAGGTTTAACTCAATTTTGATTTTCTTTTTAGTAATGTGTTCTCGACATGCCTATGTTTTAACGGTGGTAGGTCAGGCTGTATTTGTTGTTAAGCGTCAACTATCTCCGTCAGATTCTCAAGAAGATCTAAAGGGACTTCGTTCATCAAATTTACCTGTTAATGTGTGATAGTGTTACTTCTTTCTCCTCTTTGTTCATATTTTGGATAAATATGTTTCTAATTTATATACATTTGACCTGATTATTGACGGAATATTTGGGATCATTTAAACTTCAAGATTTATCTTGATATGGGTCGAATGGATCTTTTCCTCAAACTATACTTTCAGACTATCATTTTTCATCGTCATTCCCATCAAATATTTTCTTGTTCACAGCGAAAGAAAAGTTGACTGCCGGATTGCGCCTTACTTTACTTTTAATTATATTTAAGCAAGTTTCAGTACTTATTTTGGAAGTAAATGATAATGAAATGAATGATAATTTTAGGTCCTGCGATGTATGTTTTAAAAAAATCAGCTATTTTCCTCTTTTTTCACGGAGTTTGTCGCGTCTTATGAATATTTATTTTAATATGAGTTGATGGAAACCTCCTGTGCATATTAAAATTCGATGTTACAGGAGTGGAGGGATACTCAGAGAGTGGGAAGACAGCGCTTGAGAAATCGCATCAGCTTCCAAATTTGAATGTTATGGCGATGGAAAATAGAAAAGGACAGTTTCGAGAACTGTATGCATGATAGATTTGAACTCGATAATGCAATTGAATCTTCAACCCAAATTTGAGAAGTCTTAGAATAAAACTTGAAAATTTAGTGGTTTCGTGACGGGCTTATCCTTAGAAAGGTTCACTGGGAGATATTTTAAATAAAAGATCAGCTGATCTTTAGCCCAAAATCCCCTTTTCGGCTGATAGGAAAATAGCGATTTTTTTATTCCTTGATTCAAGCCTGTTGACTCTTCTCACAGATCGATAAATTGGGTATCATTTTGACAGGAGGATTCAGTTTAACTCTGGACAACTTTAAGGATGAATGAAAGCTAAAATTTAAATCAAAGTTCTTATAGAAGCATAATATCCCTACACTATGAGTAAATATGCAGTGAGAACCTTCACGAATGAAGCGTATCCCCGTTAGAAATACTCAAGAGTGGTCTCGATGGCAATAAATGGAAATTATATTATCTTATTAGCTCTTAATTAGAGCTGTGAGATAATATTTGGTTCGTTTGATAAAGAATTGATATCAAAAGCATAATGTTGATGTAGGGATTATGATGTTTGGTGATTTCGTTTAATAACGCAGGGGTTAAAATGAAGTTGGGAAAATTGCAGCCAGGGGGTGTTCAATAGACTTACTAACATCTGGTGCACCCTAGGCAACGTATACTCATAAGGCAAGAAAAGTCTATGAACTACCATGATCCCACTCTAATGCATGTTCGACCACTTCTACAGTACTCACCTTACCCTTTAATATACCTTTATGTCTGTCTCTTTTGCACCTGGTAATCAATCTTCTGTTACCTCTCTTGTATTTTTCCCACTTTGAGGTTCCTCCCCTCTATGAAACCCGATGTCAGCCAAAGGGCTAATGATAATCATCAAAACGCCTGCCATTTGATAGAACTATGAATATAATAACTGTGGCCAGCCTTTCACTCAAACCCACAAAATTCCAGACATTTAAAATTCGTTATACCATTTATTAGCAAGCTAAGAGGCAGTGACAAGCCTGGATCTCACGACACCGTTCAAGATGGGGGGGGGGGCGATGGAAGAGGATTGAATGGCGATGTCATTCCACGGAGATGTGCAGAAGCCGAGGTTTTTGTATTTTAAACATAGAAATTATCAATTTTTAGCTATTTGAGCCCCTCCTGAAATCAATTGTTGAAAATGGCAGGTGTTTTGATAACTATTATTAGCCATTTAGCTGACTTCGGGCTTCACAGAGGGAAGGTTAATCAAAGAAGCAGAAAGTCGAGGTGTGGGGAACAGAAGAGCGATTCACAGATGTAAAAGAGGCAGATAGACACAAAGGTAGAGAAAGAGGTAAAATGAGTATTGTGGAAGGGGTCAAATATGACAATCAGTCGGGCCATTTTAGTTTGAAGTCAGAAGTCAACTGCCGGTTAATAGACTTTTTTTGCCGTGTGAGTATACGTTGCCCAGGGTTCACCACGTGGAG